GTATCGATACTCTCTAGGTAGTATCGATACTACCAACTTGCTCAAATTCTAGAATACAAAATAGGTATCGATACCCAAATGGATATCGATACAACTTTACATAGTAGTATCGATACCATGGTCACAGTATCAATATCGTCAAGCCCACGGCCAGTAACAACTAGTTTTATTTAAATATTACAAAGGTAGTACCGATACTCCCTATAGAAGTACTGATATCCTCTGTCTTGGCCAATTTTATTTTGCAGAGAAAATATCCCCAACGGCTCCAAATCACTCCCAATGGCTAGAAATGACCACAAACACATTCCAACATATAAATACAAGTTCAAGACACTTGAAGAAGGGTTAGAACACCTATCGAAGCAATCAAACACAAGAAAAGAGCTTTTCACTCTTTATTTCTATTCTTTTACAAATATTTTGTTTTTGTGAGCTTTAATTTCTAAACACCTTCATTTTTAGAGGTATCTTTGTTTACATCTTTTTCTTTGGGTAAAGGGGTTTTGGTTCTAGTTAAGCCTTTGAAAAGCTAGGGAGTTTGTAAAGGTTATTTTTTTGTGCTTGAAAAAGAAAGAAAAAAATTAGTGGATTTGTTGGAAAATCCTAAGTGAGGAGCTTAGGTAGCAAATGTAGAATTTGGTTGAGAAATTCGAACCACTATAAATTCTTATCCAATAATTTTCTATCCCTTTAATTCTCCTTACTCCTTAAAATTCTCAAAAAAACTAATTCACCCCCTATTGGCAAACTTTTTTAGCCGTCAATTGAGCTTCAAAGATACTAACAATTGGTATCAAAACTTAACTCTTTAGAAGGCTTCACATCCTTGAGACTATCCTTGCAGAAGCTCTACCTATTTCTAACATAACCGACAAGAAGATAGCTTCGACCTCTGGCTCTTACTACATTGAAGACTCTCAACCAGTTAACAATCCACCTTATTTCAATTGAGAAAATTATCTCTATTAGAAGAATAGGATGATGATCTTCATTCAAGCCAACAATCTAGGAGCTTAGAACTCAATCGTTAAAGGATACTCCATTCCAACCAGTGAGATAGATGATTGGAGTGATGGAGATAAGAAAAAGTTCCAACTCAATGTCAAGCCTATGCATATCCTCTTTTGTGCATTAGGCCCAGATGAATATGGAAGAGTCTCTTCTTGTTCTAATACCAAGGAGATTTGGGACAAGCTCCAAATCACTTATTAAGGAACCAACAAAGCGAGGGAAACCAAAATCAGTATTCTCAACCATTACTATTAGAATTTCAAGATAAAACTAGATGAAGACATTAATGCTATGATGGAAAGATTTTTCGTAATTGTTAATGGACTCAAGGGATTTAGATAAGTAATCCTTAATGAGAAGCTTATGAGGAAAATGATTTACTCTCTTCCACAATCTTGGCAATCAAAGAAGATGTTGATTATCGAAGCTAAGAACCTCAAGTCACTCACTCTTAATGAGCTTATCGGTTATCTTTTCACTCATGAGTTGATGGTAAAGAAAGAAGAATATGATGAAGAAAAAAGAATAAGAAAAAAGAGGTATACATTACCTTCAAATCCACCAATGAGAGCAATCAAGATACAAATGAAGAGGTAGATGAGTATGATGATGATGATGAAGAGATGGCCAAGCTCTTCAAAAGATTTAAGAGATTCATGAATTCTAAGGAAGCAAAGCATGAATCGATCAAAAAGAATAGTCCCCCAATGTGCTTCAATTGTCAAAGAACGGTGCATGTCAAGTATGATTCTCCCCTCCTAAAGAAGAAGGGATATAGTAAGAAGAAGGCATTTGTGACAACTTGGAGTGATGAAGATGACTCCAATGATGAATACGAAGTATCCAACCTATGCCTTATGGCCATCAATGAAAATTCAATGTTAACTTCGAACTCCAGTGAATTAAATTCTTATTCGTTTGACGACTTACAAGTTGCCTATGATGAATTGTATTTGGAATTTAAGACCATGAATTCCAAATATAAGAAATTGATTTCAAAATTCAAGGTTGAAAATGATTATCTTTTGAAAGCAAAATTGGATTTTGAAAAGTAAAATGAAATTTTGAAAAATGATTTTGAGATTTCAAAAACCAAAATTGAAGATTTGGAAAAAGAAAATCTTGATTTTAAAGTTAAGCTTGAATGTTTAACAAAAAAATATCAAACTTAATAAAGATCCAACCATAAGGTTTTGGAGCAATATAAAGGTGGGGGAACCAAAGATGAAGCTACGAGCTAAGGTACTCACAATAAAGAAATCATTTCAAAAAATAATTCATCTATTTTAAAAATGAAAAAATGCTCACATTGTCATTTTCATGGTCATTTGGAACATACTTGTCCCATAAAGAAAAGAAAATCTTTTAAAATTAAACAAGTATGGGTTCCTAAGGGAACAAGGGGCATTGAAACTAACGTTCAAGGATCCAAAGCAATTTGGATACCAAAATACAATTAAATGTATCTTGTAGGTGTGTGAGAGAAATGGTGATGAAAGTGAAGATATTCAAATGCTCTAGCCACACTTGAAAAACAATGAGTATCCTCTAAGCTTAATGTTATTGTTTTTATTATTTGGTTGCCTATTTGTTTTAAACATGCATGAGTTTTTTATCTTAAATGATTAAACATTATTTTTCATCTCATGTATGTTGAAAAGTGTATTTTGATGAACATTGTAAAGTTTTAATGATTTTTCATAATTTTTTATTTCATCATAATGAATTTTGGTCAAAATTATTTTTAAAGCAAAAAAATAACTCTCTAACAATTGATATCAGTTTTTCAAATGCTTTTCTTTTTCAAATTTTAATTTTAGACCTTAATTTTAAATGTTTATGCATGTGACTTGTTTCAAATGATATGTCTCTAACAATTGATATCAATTTTTTCAAATGCATAACATTTTTGGATAACTTTATGCATATGCACTTAATTTCAACAATTGGTATTGCATAAAGTATATTAGACTTGGATATATTGAATTTCATATGCTACTAACATGTTTGTTCATCATTATTGAAATTCAATTTTTTTAGGTGTCAAGCTTTTAAAAGTCAAATATTTGTTTGGAATGCTTTTATTAAGGGGGATCTTTTTGATTTTTCAAATGATTTTATGCAAAAATTTACCACTTACTCTCCATTATTATTTTTAAACTTTAAAGTTGAATTATTTTTGATATAACAAAAAGGGGGGAGAAGTATGGTTTGAAAAATTCAATCTTAAGAACGAGAAAATGGGGAGTTTTAACATTTTCCAAAATATGTATTTTTCATTAAATGTTTCACTAAGGGGGGAGTTTTGCCAAAAATAAATTTTCAAATGTTTTGTTATATCAAAAAGAGGGAGATTATTGAACCATGTTTTATAATATTTTGATATAACAAATTAAGGAAAAATGTTTTTGGACTTGAATTGAATTTGTTCAAAGTTTTAAAAAAATTCAAAGTCCATCAAAACTGAATTTGAGCACAAAACTGATTTTTACGTAGTACCAATATTGTTCTTAGAGTATCGATACTATATGAACAGTACTGATATTGTTCATGTGGTACCGATACCAAGGGTAAGAGAAGAATCGATACTCTTTAGGTAGTATTGATACTACCAGATTGCTCAAAATCTAGAATGCAAAATAGGTACTGATACTACTTTACATAGTATTATCGATACCATGGTCACAATATCGATACCTTCAGACCCAACGACTAATTTTATTTAAATATTACAAACGTAGTACCGATACTCCCTATAGAAGTATCGATACCCTCTGTCTTGGGCATTTTTGTTTTGCAGAGAAAACATCCCCAACGGCTCCAAATCACTCCCAACGGCTACTGCAAACACATTCCAACATATAAATACAAGTTCAAGGTACTTGAAGAATGGTTAGAACACCTATCCAAGCAATCAAACACAAGAGAAGAGTTTTTGATTCTTTATTTCTATTCTTTTGTAAATATTTTGTTTATGTGAGCTTTAATTTGTAAACACCTTACTTTTTAGAGGTTTCTTAGTTTACATCTTTTTGTTTGTGTAAAGGGGTTTTGGTTCTAGCTAAGCCATTGAAATCTAGGGAGTTTGTAAAGGTTATTTCTTTATCCTTAAAAAAGAAAAAAACAAATTAGTGGATTTATTGGAAAATCCTAAGTGATGAGCTTAGGTTTGAGAAAGTCAAACCACTATAAATCCTTGTACAACCATTTTCTATCCCTTTCATTCTCCTTACTACCTAAAATTGTCAAAAAGATAATTCACCCACTCTTGGCAAATTGTTTTGGTTATCAATTGAGCTTCAAGGTAGTGGATGTAGACTTTGGTTGAGAAATCAAACCACTATAAATCATTGTGTAACAATATTATATCCCTTTAATTCTCCTTACTCCCTAAAATTCTAAAAATCCAATTCATCCCCTATTGGTAAACTTTTTTTGTTGTCAATTGAGCTTCAAAAATCCTATAACTATTGATAAAAATAATCAAGACTTTCAACAAAATATTGAATTCTAGATAGAGCCAAGAAGAAGTAAAGGGACAAGGGTAGAAAAGTCCTTTGGATCAAATTTTCTAACCTATATGTTAGAGACTGAACCTCTAACTTATACCAAAGTTGTATGCTTATATGAAAGTAGTTTTTGGAAAGATTCTATCAAGAGTGAAATTGATTCCATCATGCAAAACCATACTTGAGAATTAGTAGATCTTATTAAACCATTAAATTCTAAATGGATTTTAAATGAAAAATGAAAGTAGATGGAAAAATTGATAAGTACAAGGTCATGTTGGTTATAAGAGGTTACCGACAAAAGCAAGGTCTTGATTACTTTGATACGTATTTGCCCGTATCAAGAATAACTTCTATAAGAATGATACTTGCTATTGACGCTTTATGAAATTTATAATTACATCAACTGGATATTAAGGTAACTTTCCTTAATGGAGACCTTGATGAAGAGCTTTACATGGAAAAACCTGAGGGATATGTAACTCCAGGACAAGAAAATAAAGTATGTAGGTTGGTAAAGTCATTATATGGACTTAAACAAGCACCAAAACAATAGCATGAAAAGTTTTGCAGCGTAATGATATCAAATGGATTTCAAATTAATGAGTTGACAAATGCGTGAATGCTAAAATCATTGTTGATGGATACATCATCTTATGCCTATATGTTGACGACATACTCATTGTTGGAAGTAATAATGAAATGATAAAATGAACCAAACACATGTCAAATTCAAAATTTGACATCAAAGATATAGGACTTGCTCACATGATTTTGGGCATCCAAATCAAAAGTTCATATGAAGGTCTTATATTGACTCAGTCACACTATGTAGAGAAGATTTTAGAAAATTTGGCAAGGATGATTTTGGTGTAGCCAGAACTCCAATAGATACAAGTCAACATATATTTAAAAATAAAGGTGAAAGTGTTAACCAAGCGGAATATGCAAGGATAATAGGCAACCTAATGTATCTTATGAGTTGAATTAACCTACATTTCTTTCACTGTAACAATCTTAAGACTAATTCTTTATTCTTTTATTGTAAGTCAACCATACAATAGATAACGAACGAACCAATAGGGAAGTGTGGTCCATGATGATTTTTTTTCAATAGGCAATTCAAAATTAGTGGGGACTGTTTAATTTTACGGTTTTCTTGGTCAAATCTTCATGTGGTGCATTTGTGCATGTCATGGAATGATGGAATTGGTGCCAGGTACCTTCAAATATTAGTTTTTTACTCTTTTAAAAAAATTTAGTTTGCATGGTATAATAAATTACATATAATTTAATTCGTGTCTCTCCTGTACGAGACTTTTTATCTTATTGTTATCTAATAATGAACTATGGATTACCTATCTTTGAATTCAACAAAGAATAAAATTTTTAATATGCAAAATTAGAGAATGGAAAAGTGAAACTTTGGTGCTATAGAACAAGGCATCAAAATTAATGCTATACACATAATTGTGTTAGGCTTTATATTTTTGTTTCAGGTTTTAATTTTATTAAAACATGGCATTTAATAATTTCAAAAAATGGTATTGATTGTGAATTTCTTGTTTCGGGTTTTAGTTTTACTAAATTCCCATAGTTTAAGAGAAATTACTCGTTATGATTAATATGGTACCGAAACAAAATTGTGATTTGTTGTAAACAGAAGATATATTTTAGGATTTCAATTTTAACATCCAAAAGAATTTATTTGATTTATTTTTTATAATTGAAATCATTTGAAAGTAACAACATTGTTTCTAACAAAATCAGATGGTAAAATAAATTGAATTAATGTTCAGTTTATTGTTGGAATACTTATGAATTCTAGTTTCATGGTTTAAATGAAACATTAGATAATCCGATCAATTCACTTAAATCGTGATATGGAATGATTTTTCTATACTTCGAATAAAATTCAATGATATCGATGACTGTGGTTCACAATAAGAAGCATATTAAATTCTATGGATAGAATTTCAAAACATGGCAAAGATGGATGTTACATTTGACCATGTAGAATATGATCATATATGTGCATGATGATCCTCCTATTAATAGAGAGAGGATGTGCTCCATAAGATGACTAAAGAATTATGGATAATATTAGGCCATGAATACAAAGCAAGAGAATTATCTTAAATGAAATGTTAGCGTCATGCTAAGATGTTATGGGTTGTCAAAGAACATGTGGGGGAGTTGTTTTATAAGTTAATTACCTTTTAAATAAGTTGCACCACAAGAAAATGGACAAGATGTCGTATGAATTATGAAAAGGTAGAAAATCTTCCTACAAATACTTGAAAGTGTAGAGGTATCTTTCAAAAGTAATGGCTACAAGTGATTTTAAAGTATACATCTAAATGGCTAAAGTATGTGCCCAAAATGTGCATATATTGTGATAACCAAGCAATAATTGGTAGAGCACATAATGTAATGCCTCATCAACTGAATACCATTAGATAATTGATCTCAAATTAAGAGTTATATTCATTCATTTTGTAAGATCAAAAGATAACATTGCAGATCCGCTAAAAGGGTTAAATTGAGATCAAGTTGATAAAACACCGAAAGGAATGAAACTAAAGCCCATGAATATTTAAGGCACTATGTGAAGGAAAACCCAACTTAGTTGACTGGAAATCCTAAGATATAAGTTCAATGAGACAACCTACTTGCATAGACCTTGTTTGGTCACTGTGGGGGATTACTATCCCAAGTCCATTCCTATAATGAAAATAATGACTAAAATATGGATAAGGTTAAGCAATGTTTTTAATGACCACTATGTGTTTCAATGAGCATAACAACATAAGTCACATATTTGAGAGTGAAATAGAGCCGTTTCAAGGAGACTATTGGGGCATAGTTCTCTAATCTCTTGCAGAACCAAGAGATGTCCACGGCTATATGAACATAACCATGATAACCAAATTCTTGTTAGGGAAACATTTGTGTGAAGTATATCATGCTTACACAAACGGTAGGACATTTCAAGGACATCACGTCTACTAGATAGCAATAAGGAAAAAATATTTTCACAAGGACAGATTCAAAGGGGGACGCCTACATATCCTATGCAAATATCGAACATAGAATCTATCACCATATCGAGTAAATTTAAAATTATCAATTTTATTTATTTGGGTATTGTTGGAAAATTATGAATTAATTGAATAATATTAATGCTCTTTATGATAAATGGTGTCACTTGGTGAAAAGACTTATTAATAATAAGTCATGTCACTTGGTTTAAAGTTGCATCCATTCAATTATACCCATTAGTTTTTCAACTAATCCCTTCATCAAATGGTCTTAACTCCTCCTCAAAAGGTCATAACCTTTTGATTAATTTTCTCTCCTCTATAATAGACTAGTTAAGGTACAAATCTTAGAGACACAAGTTACATCATGCAAGGTAAAAATGTTGGAATAGGAAAACACTTAGAAAATTGCTTCCAATTTCTTTTTTTTTTTGTGATAGAGAAAGACAAGATTGTGTTCGACTGATCACTACGGTTGTGCTTACTGTTTTGATCGTTTGTTGTTGTATATTGGGAGACTGATGTCCAACGTTACTCTCCGAGGAAAGGATAAATCTATCTTAAGGAAACTATTCATAAAGGCCTCAACAAAACTTTTTCTTGTATTTATCTGACTCCGCTCGTCCTCGATTTCATGTCTACATATGAGTAACCAATCTCATTCCTCTATTTTAATTCTTTTTGGAAGTCTACAATCAAATGACATATGTCCTGTCTTATTACAGTTGAAGTATTTTCCTTGGAATTATTGCTTTTTGAAAACACCGAAAAAAGAATTTGGAAGAATTTTGAAGATATGAATGGAAATGACTTGAAAGAAAAATGAATTAAAAGAATTGCAAGTTGTATTGAAATGTGTAACAACTTATCCTTTATATAGGGAGAGGAATTTAGATTGGAAGGTTATGTAATTTCAATGAAAGGGCTTAACCTTTTGATTAAAAGACTTAACCTTTAATTTATGAAAGGGTTTAACCTTACTCATAAAAAGACTTGACTTTAATTTATGAAAGGGTTTAACCTTATTCATAAAAAGACTCAACTTTAATAGTCAAACTAGGATTTCCAATCGTAGGTATAGATATCAAGTAGGTGGTATCCATACTCACATTAAGGTATCAATATTCTTGGATAATATCAATACTAATTTGACATAGTAGAATCTAATATTTTGTCTCAGTATCAATACTAAAGACTTAGTATTTATAACATTCTAATTCTGAATACGTAGTACCTAGAGACCAATGTGTTATATTGGGTCACCGAAACAACCTAACAATTTGTCAACTATTTTAAAACAATAAAATAAAAAAATTTAATATAAAAAATACCATTAAATAATTATACGTAATAAAAATTGTTATAAAAAATATGTGTTTCTACAATACAATCATATGTCAAAATAACCAAAAATTGAATGAGTTACAAACCCTAAAAAACGAATAAAAGTACACTAATATAAAAATGGAGACAATTCGAACGTTAAGCATTACAATCTCAGTGATACACAATTAATCTATCATACTTCAAACAATTTATAAATATGAACACACAACTCAAATGTATACATAGAAGCATGACATCAATATCGGACATTTTAATCATGAGTCATTATACACAATCAAATCACTTGCTTATCGAACTTGTTAGATTGCATAATTGCCCAAATAATCAGGTACCCAAATAGTCCCACATCACTTATGATCACTAGTTAAATAATCTCAGATGTCCGTAGTGTTATCATGATCGTCACCCATGACTACTAATTAAATAATCTCGAGTATCTATAATATTATGTTGAACGTCATTTATGGCCGCTAGTTAGATTAAACTATGAAGGCTACGTGCAAACAAAACATCAAACAATTAATCATAGATATAAAACAATGACATCCTGTAACTCCCCAGACCCGGTCTGTAAGTTAGACCCAAACCTAAGTGGTCACATATCCCATTCAGAGGTATTTTTTTTAAACAACTTATAATACATTAGATATAATACAAAACAAAATATTAATAATACAAATATATCCAAAACGATAGCAAATACATGTCACCAGAAACAACAGAAAGCATGTAAAGATATATGTTCGTACAAAATAAGTAGTTGATCTCCCCTGATGCCAAATCTGCTAGCTTACGGTCTGCTGTTATCTGAAAAGGGGTAAAAACTATAGAATGAGCTAAAAAGCCCAGTGTGCTTCAAACAGCGTATAAAAACATTTTAATAAAATATATATCCCATTAAGAGGTACTTTTTTAAACAACTTATAATACATTAGATATATTACAAAACAAAATATTAATAATACAAATATGTCCAAAACGATAGCAAATACATGTCACCAGATACAACGGAAAGCATGTAAAGATATATGTTCGTACAAAATAAGTAGTTGATCTCCCCTGATGCCAAATCTACTAGCTTACGGTCTGCTATTATCTGAAAAAGGGTAAAAACTATAGAATGAGCTAAAAAGCCCAGTGTGCTTCAAACAGTGTATAGAAACATTTTAATAAAAT